AAGTTTGTTTTCTTTGTCTGTGAGCAAGCAACCCATTCTCAGGACCCCAGACACCCACCAACCCCCTCTCAATCCCTGCCTGATGAGTTCCATCTCTTGGTGTCCTCAGGATGAAATTTATGTGTGTATCTTAGATTCACCATGTACAGCATTATTATTAAAATATTTTTAACAAATACATCTGATTATGAAAATAAGCAGATTGGAAGCATTAGGTCAATAACGGGATAGGTCATGTGCAGATACGATGGTAAATACAGGTGTGCCGGAGCCTGAAGGTGTCACCCCAGCATCTGATGTCTTGGGGACCAGGTGTCTTCTCACTTAACCCTCACAAGCATGCATTCCAGAGTGAGTCTTGCCTCTCCATTTTATGGAGGAATAAAGGGACTCTGGGGCAAGTATGATGACCAATGACCACACAGCATTGATGTGACCTTAGGACCCTCTGATTCTGCCCTTTCACTCTTGACATGCCTGGGTAACAGAATGACCATGTTACATTTTTAAATCCAGGGTTCTGGTTACATGCAGCTTGTATTCAACAGTTCTGGTGACTTCTGAATGTAGATTTTAAAATATTCACAACGTAAAAGTTGAGAGTTATGATTTACTTGACAGGAATGTTTAGAACATCAAGCCTGGGAGGTAGCATCTCAAGTGACTTTGAGAGAACTGCTCTGAGGAAGTGAGGGGAGGGGCCAGGTTATAGAGAAGTTTTGCAACAAAGGGCAGGTCTTCTGAACTTCAAAAGATGATTGCTAATGAACGAAAACCAGATACCCCAAGTTAAGGAATTTAGAGCTCATATGGAAAGGTGCAAGAGTGTGAGCTCACTGAAGTCATTCCTTTAGCATGCAGCTATGCTATCTGGGGCCAGTATCCTGTGTTTTCACATCCTGCACTTTCTCAGGGCTCACCCTAGGGAGTGGCTGCAGTCTGCAGGCATTCTTTCCTCCCTGAGCTCCTTCAGGGCTCACCAGCTCGCCATCCCTGGAGGCTGCAATCGCTGACGTAGGTGACATCCTCTGTTTACTGATAAGGCAGGAAACACTGCATGTCTCACATGGAATCACAGAACCTGACTTTGGGAGGGACTGAAGATCATTTTGTTGATACCTGCTCCCATGGAGGGGGGAAGCAGGCCCAGAGGGGAAGGGACCTGAGCAGGGCCAGTGGTGAGTCAGGGCACTGCTGAGCCACACGCTCCCAGGCAGGCACCAGTCCTGCCCATGCTCCATGCCCGGCCAGGACATGGGCCAAGGACCTAGGCATTTCCCACTGGACCCACATTCCCACAAACCTTGGCCCTGGGCACTGCAATCCCAGGGCTGCACCCAGGGCTGAGCTGGCCTTCCCCAGGGTGGGGCGGGCTGGGCCTTTCTGCTGAGTCACCAGCAAAGCATGGGCCTGACCACAGGACATTTTTGAGATTCCAGGTCTGACTCTGCAGAGGCCTTGGCCCTGAGGCAGGTCCGGCCTCACCCGGCCCAGCATCACTGCGGGAGACAGACGGGGAGGCAGGGGCGGGGTGTCCATCCCAGCCTCTCTCTCTCACTGCCCCCCAGGGATGCCAGGCCAATGGGCTCTGAGCCCACAGCCAACAGGAGGAGACACGCCGTCATGGCTGGACTTCAGACAGAAGAAGGATCAATCGAGATTGAAGGGGCTCCGGGCTACCCTTTCACATGCTTTTGAATTTTCTCAAAGAAGATTTGTTAAAGACATTTTCATCTGTAATAATTCCTTGACATGGTTTAAAATTCAAAAAGTATCAAAGAAAAAGTACATGGTATAAATTCTCCTCCCTGGGTCCTCCAACGGCTCCACCAGTTTCCTCCAGACAGGCAACCAGTGCAGTCAGTTTCCTTTATATCCAGGTAGATATTTTATGCATATATCAATGCAAATGAATCGTCTGCACTGGTAGATATATGAAGGCATGTGCATATGCACCCACACACATATGCATATTCGTTGTTCAGTTGCTGAGCTGTGTCCAGCTCTTTGTGACCCCAGGGACTGTAGCACGCCAGGTTTCCATGCCCTTTACCATCTCTATAAGTACACATATAGGCTTACCAGGGGACATAGTGGTAAAGAATCCACCTGCCAATGCAGGAGACACAAGAGATACCAGTTCGAGCCCGGGGTCAGGAGGATCCCCTGGAGAAGGAAACGGCAACCCACTCCAGGATTTTTGCCTGGATAATCCCAGGGACAGAGGAACCTGGCAGCTGGACTGCAACCCAGGGGGTCGCAGAGAGTCGGACACGACCGAGCATGCACACACACATATGGGTATGTATGGACATAGAGCTGTCTCTCGGTATCTGGGGGGAGTGGGTCCAGGAGCCCTGGGCACTATTATCCACAGATGCTCAAGTCCCTCATATAAAACGAAGTGGTGTACGCCTAACCTGCTCACCTCCTGAATACTAGAAATCACCTCCAGGTTACATACAAGAACCTAATCCAATGTAATTGCTTTGAAACTGTTGCTGGTATGGAAAATTCAAATTTTGCTTCTCAGAGTTCTCTGGAAATTGTTTTTCCTCAGTATTTTTGATCCACAGTTGATTGAACCTTCAGACAGGTGAACCTGTAGATGCAGAGAGTTGACTGTGTATTCTTTCCACCCAAAGGAAGCACGTCTTTGTCTCTGAAGGTGGATTTAGCTTCTGGAAAGGGCTGCAGGTTTTAGCTTCCAGCGCTGGTGCTCAGTTGCTCGGCTGTGTCTGACTCTCTGTGACCCCACGAACTGTAGCCCGCCAGGCTCCTCTGTCCATGGGGTTTTCCAGGCAAGAACACTGGAGTGGGTTGCCATTTCCTCCTCCAGGGGAGCTTCCTGACCCAGGGATTGAACCCGCCTCTCCTGCGTCTCCTGCGTTGGCAGGTGGATTCTTTCCCGCTGAGCCATCAGAGATTAGCTTCCAGGGAGCATTGCTAATATGTGAGGAGTACTGAGGAAGCAGACACTTGACAGATGTCTCTGAAGCCCCCGCAAGGCTTCCCAGGTGACTCAGGTCGTAAAGAATCTGCCTGCAATGCAGGAGACCCAGGTTCAACCCCTGGGTCGGGAAGATTCTCTGGAGATGGGCATGGCACCTCGCTTCAGTATTCTTGCCTGGAGGATCCCACAGAAGGGCCTGATGGGCTACAGTCCATGAGGTTGCAAATAGACACAACCGAGCAACTAACACTTCCACTTAAAGGCAAGCAGCGACCCTTTCCTGGCAGAGGTTGTCGGGAGGGACAGTGTGGGGCCGGCTGGCAGAGGTTGTCGGGAGGGACAGTGTGGAGCCGGCCTGCACAGCCCTGGTGTCCTGGGATGCCGGACTGTTCTGCGCCTCAGTGTGCCCCTCTGTGAAATGGGAATAAAGCCAAGCCCGTGCCCAAGGGTTCTGTGAGAACCAGCAGTGCCCACATGAAACAGCGTGAATCTGTGTGTGGGATACCCGGGACCGCCCCCACCCCAGATATCCAGATGTTCAACCTCTCATAGCCCAGTAGCCCCAAGAGCCCTAGGCTGGGCCACTGTCTGCCACACCCGGGAGAGAAACTTCCTCTGGACACTCTGTGATTAACCTGCGTGTGTCAGGGTGCGTCACGGCCTATGGATATCTGGGGGATAGTTTCGGACAAAACAAAGCCCATGGGTTGGGAGGGACACTTGGGTCCCTGAACACATAAGGCACCTCAAACAGAGGTGCACAGCGCTTCTCAGAGTGGTGAGGGGGATTCTGTTTTGGCTGGCAGGGTGAGAGGACCTCAGAGGTTGCTCCCACTACCTCTCCAAACTTCAGTCCAGCTCCCCTTGGACCACATTTGCAATAGGAAGATCATGCCAGCTTCATATTTCATTTTAAGTCTTCCAGTGGCCACACTGAAAAAAGGAATAGGAGAAATGCATTTTAATAATATACTGTATTTAACTCAATATATGCAGCCATGAAATTAAAATATGTTTGCTCCTTGGAAGGAAAGCTGTGATATACCTACACAGCGTATTAAGAAGCAGAGACATCATTTTGCCAACACAGGTCCGTCTAGTGAAAACTATGGTTTTTCCAGTAGTCATGAATGGTTGTAAGAGTCTGACCATAAAGAAGGCTGAGTGCTGAAGAACTGATGCTTTTGAACTGTGGTGCTGGAGAAGACTCTTGACAGTCCCTTGGACTGCAAGGAGACCAAACCAATCAATCCTAAAGGAAATCAACCTTGAAAATTCATCTGGAGAACTAATGCTGAATCCCCAATACTTTGGCCACCTGATGTGAAGAACTGAGTCATTGGAAAAATCCCTGATGTTGGGAAAGATTGAAGGCGGGAGGAGAAGGGGACGACAGAGGATGAGATGGTTGGATGGCATCAGTATCTCAATGGACATGAGTTTGAGCAAGCTCCAGGAGTTGGTGAAAGACAGAGGAGCCTTGTGTGCTGCAGTCTACGGGGTCGCAAAGAGTCAAACACAAGTAGGTGACTGAACAAAAGCAGTGACAATTCATCCTATCACTACAACCTGCAATCACTGCTGTGGGTATTGATGAAATACTTCGCAGTCACTCTTTCTGACAATATCTTCAAACTCTGGTGCCTGTTCTGCTTTTCCAGGACGTCTCAGCGCGGACCAGCTACGTTTCAAATGCTCAGGGGCCACCCCTGGCCAGCAGCGGCCATACTAGGTGATGCAGAGCATCCTGGGACCACGGCAAGGAGACAAGAGTTCAAGCCCGCCATCTCAGCCGCAAGTTCCCCTGTCCCCAGCTCCTCTCCTGGGCAGAAGCAAAAAGTGACCCAGGCCCCCAGAGACAGGCAGGGCCCAGGCTTTGGGGGTATCTGTGCCCCCAAATCCATGCCATGGATGGCTCTGCTGCCTGACTGCCGCCCTGCCCACAGGCCCTGCTCAGGCCGCCCTCCTGCTGGTCGGCCGGCCCTGCCTAGGTCTGCGGGCGGGCCCTGGGGACGCGCCACCGGGCAGCCGCTCATGATAGGCCTACCTTTTCGTGCCCGACCGCGCCAAGCCGCCGGCGACGTCACCCAAAGCCCCTTCCCGTCCCTTCCAGTTCTGAAGTTTGCACTGATCAGGAGGAAGTTTCTCGTGGCAGGGTCACCTGTGGGAAAATGCACAGGAAGCTGAGAGGCCCTCTGTCTGGGGCTCAGAGCAGGGTGGTGGCCAGGCAGCAGGTGGTCCATCCCGGGCGGTGGGTGCAGAGAAAGTGTCCAAGTTCAGGCTTAATGAAGCCAGGTGTCTAAATGCTGAAAGAAACCACCTGTCAATGCAGGAGATGCAAGAGATGAGGGTTCAGTTCCCAGGTCTGGAATATTCCCTGGAGAAGGAAATGGCAACCCACTTCAGTATTCTTGCCCAGGAAATCCTGTGGACAGAGGAGTCTAGTGGGCTACAGTCCATGGGATTGCAGAGTCCAACACAACTGAGTCATTGAGCATGCACACACACACACACACACACACACACACACATGAATCACTATCAGCCAGTGGAAGTAGGTTCTTTCTAACACCTGCAAGGGGCTTCATTCATTCCTTTCTTTCCTCAAGCATGTGCTTGGATCAGGGCTGTGGACCCCGGGGAGAAGTTGGGCCCCAGAGGAGGGGAGCTGGGAGTGAGCTAAGAGGGTCCTGCCCAGGCCCAGACCCTCAGGAGGCCCAGCCAAGGTGAAATCAAATCCTGTTCTTTTTTTAGTTTGTTGGTTTTACAGGAAAACCAGGCCATAAAGAGGGAACTTGTGCTAATAAAACCTGTGAGATTCCCAAGAAGGGAAAGGCAGCTCAGTTGGAGCCTGCCGGTTTTGGGCCCTTGAATCTGAAAGGGAGTCTGGGGAAATGCTAATTTTGAACTTTTCCTACACCCTTCCTGCCTCTGGATGCTGAAGGCTGCCTTGCATTCCTGCGCACAATCAACTGAGGGGAAAGAATGGCGTCACTTCAGGACAGCGTCAGCTCGCTTTTCCCTGATGGGAGGAAAAGCAGGGTCTGCTTTAAAAGACACGTCACATTATTATTTTTTTAATTTCTTATTTCTATTTTTTAGCCTTCCTGAGTGAAAAAATACATTCGGGGAATCTGAGCTTGGCCCCTAATTTGGAAAGACCGTGTGATCGACTTGGGGAAAAAAATAGGCCTTGATCTGGGCGTCCTAAGAAGATGATAAATTCCATCTCCTCTCGGGGCTCATCAGAATCTGCCTTCAATGCAGGAGAACCGGGTTCAATTTCTGGGCTGGGAAGATCCCCTGGAGAAGGAAATGGCAGCCCACTCCAGTACTCTTGCCTGAAGAATCCCATGGACAGAGGAGCCTGGCGGGCTACAGCCCATGGGGTCACAAGAGTCAGGCACGACTTAGAGACTGAACCACCGGGGACTGTCTGGGAAGCCCGCGGAGGACGGACCCTCGACTTCCCGGAGCGAGTGGGGAAGAGGGGCGTGCTGGCCACGGCTGAGAAACGGCGGTCCTTAAAGGAGGGTGACCAGGTCCCCGGGAGGCTTCACCTGCCCCCTGCCTGCTGCCGCCACTGCCGGCCACCTGGCGGGGAGGGAGTCTGCAGCGTCACATCTGTACAGGGCCCGTGGGAGTCCAGCGGTGGAGACGGGGCCCTGCGTGGTCTCTGAATGTGATGGGCATGGGGTTCCTCCTCCTCTCAGCAGTGAGGCCGGGAAAGGGGGCCTTTGTACCTGCACTGCCCCTCACCCGGCTCTGCCTCGACACCCCAACCACCCACCCCAGAGCAGATTGCTGCATGCGAGGGGCCAGGGTTCTGTCTGCCCCCGGCTGGGAGGGTGGGTTTCAGCCCTGCCACTCCACATGGACTCATAGCCAAGAGGGAAGTGGGGGGGGGTGCCCCACTGTGGTCTCTGCCTCAGAGACCCCTCCACCAGTCCTCTCAAGGCAGGGTGGCTCTCTGGTGCCCTGTGGGTCTGGAGGGGGCTCTGTGTTGAGAGCTGGGGGTGGGCGGTCAGCTTACCACAGAGGGCAGCGCCCGCCACACTCACAGGGTCCGCCAGCCAGCTCATCTCCTGGGGAGTCAGGGTCCCTGCCTGCCTGGCCCTGCCCCAGCCCCAGCTGGCGGCAGCAAGGTTGGACCCAGCAGCGTTTCTAGGGCTCCATGTGCATTCTTGAGGTGGTGGTGTTTAGTCAGTAGGTCGTGTCTGACTCTTTGTGGCCTCATGGACTGTAGCCCGCCAGGCTCCTCTGTCCATGGGATCTCCCAGGCAAGAATCCTGGAGTGAGTGGCCACTTCCTTCTCCAGGGGATCTTCCCCACAGGGAGGGAACCCACATCTCCTGCACTGGCAGGCAGATTCTTTACCACTGAGCCACCAGGGAAGCCCGTTCTTGATGTGAGATGCAAGAAAGGAAGGTCCCTATGGGCCCGTTCACAGCCCGAGCTGGCTCCATGTCCCGCAGGCATCCCGTGGGGTGTGTGGGGTCTGGACTCCCAGAGCCGTGTGGGGCGAGCCTGGGGCTGGGAGAGGCTGACTCCCCCAGGATGCCCTGCCATGAGGGCACTGTGCAGCCATGCCAGACCTTACTTCCTCCCCCCCAAGGTATGTCCCCCACCCTGTCTTCCACACCCTGGGTCTGGTCGGCTTTGCTGGGGGTAGAGGACTGACCGCAGCTCACTCATCCATCCATTCATTCCACGTCTGCAGACGAGCCCCCACCATGGACCCCAAGTTGTCCTGGATGGCAGGTGGCTATCTGGAAGGTTGCTATGACCTCACAGGTGAGCAGTCCGCGAGGAAGCACGGGCCAGAGGGCAAGGTTGAAACTGTGCTGCCGGCCCTGATGGCTATTACAGGCCGCCGGCTGGGGGGCTGCTGAGGAGGGGGCCACTGTGCTGACAGCAGGGACAGCGGTCACACAAGGGCTGGAGCGAGGCAGCGCTCTGCCTTCTGAGGGCCTTCATGTCTTTGCCTTCGCCCAACACTGGAACCTCCAGCCAGCTTCAGAGACAGGCAGGAAATGGAGGTTCAGAGAAACTGCTTCAGTTGTCTGAAGCCACACAGCAGGTGAGTGGAATACGGGGCAGAGCTGGGGTTTGAGCCCTAATACTGACACCACTGTTGCTGCTGTTGTTGTTCAGCCGCTAAGTCGTGTCTGACTCTTTAAGAAACCATAGACTGCAGCGTGCCAGGCTTCCCCATCCCGCACCATCTCCCCAAGTTTGCTCTAACTCATGTCCATTGGGTCAGTGATGCCATCCAACCATCTCATCCTCTGTCGTCCCCTTCTCCTCCTGCTTTCAATCTCTCCCAGCATCAAGGTCTTTTCCAATAACTCGTCTCCACATCAGATGGCCAAAGTATTAGAGCTTTAGCATGAGTCCTTCCAATGAATATTCAGGGTTGATTTCCTGTAGGATTGACTGGTTTGATTGCCTTGCAGTACAAGGGACTCTCAGGAGTCCTCTCCAACAACACAGTTCAAAAGCATCAATTCTTCAGCACTCAGCTTTCTTTATGGTCCAACTCTCACATCCGTACATGACTACTGGAAAAACCATAGCTTTGACTAGACAGACCTTTGTCCTCAAAGTGATGTCTCTGCTTTTCAGTATGCTGTCTAGGTTTGTCAGAGCTTTCCTTCCAACGAGCAGGCATCTTTTAATTTCCTGGTTGCAGTCACCGTCCACAGTTGGAGTTCTGAAATCCAGGCCCCTCTTATTCTGCAGGAGCTTCTACATGGAGTCTTGGGCAGGGCCAGCCAGACGGGGCTTCTTCCAGACCCACTGCTGTCCCCACGTGACCAGCGCATTCCAGCCATGGTGTGACCTACTGTGGGCCGTGCAGTAGGAGGGAGGTGGGTACAACCCCCCCAACATCCTCTGTACACCAGCTCCCCGTTCCTGCAGCCCCGTCCGTAAAGCCACCTCACTCTGGAAAGGAGGACGGATGGGGCTTTTCGGGGCCACATGTTGGGGCTGCAGGCCCTCCTTCCTGGTCCTGGGTGAGGGGAAGAAAGGAAGGCAGGGGCCGAGGTCCCCAGAAGACGTCCCCGGCCCACGACTCCAGGCCCTCCTCGGCCAGGTCTCTTGGGTGGGGGGTGGGAGGCAGGACCCTCTGTCTTCCTGTTTCCTGTGACAATAGCAAGTTCAGAGGGGAGCAGCGGGGATGAGGGTGACTGAGGGAAGCTGCCCTGAGTGAGTGGGGGTAACCAGAAAGGCTTAGGGGAAGTTAAACCACCAAGAGGCTGCAGGCCTTGGTCTTTTGAGCTAAACCTGGGACCTGGCCCAGCATCACCGCTACCCGAGCACTTACTGACCTCACAAGGGTTCTGGGGTCTCCCCAAGCCAGTCGGGGGTCAGAGAGTAAGGGTGTAGTCAGAGGTCAGATGCCCCAACCCAGCCCAGCTGGGGCCCTGGGCAGCCGTGGTCAGGGAAGGACCTTTGAGGGGTCAAGGGGCTATCGACTTGGGCGTTGGCGGACCTGGGTTCTGTTCTGGTACCTTCCTGGGCCTTGCTTTCCCTCTGCATCTGCCTCTCGGTGGCCATGGAGGTGAGTGGTCATCTCTGGGCAAAGACTTGGCCCTTACCTCATGCAGCCCCAGGAGGAAGCGGTCATCACGGGTCATGGATTCCTGTGGGGGAAGCGGGGTCACAGGGCGTGGGAGGGGGGCCAGGGCAGCTGGCTCCGAGGCGCCAGGCCCCCCTTTCCCTGGCTTTCCCCACGTCCTCTCCTTGGCCGCTCAGCTCCCCCGTCTCCCCCAGCCCCCACTTCCCCTCCTTACACGGCCAGAGGAGCTGCTGCCTGGCCATGCATTTCTATTTCTGCACCTTCCGCTTCCTGCCCCGTGGCTGGCTGGCCACTGCGGAAAGTTCTGGAATCTTCAAGGCCAGCTGGTCCTGGAGCAGGACATGGAGGCCTCAGATTTCCTCCTCCCCACAGCTCCTCGGGCCTCCTAGGACTGGGCACCCCAGGTGTCAAGGAAGGCGTGGGATGACAGGAGGAGTGCATCACGGTGGAGCCTGGGCCCCGGGCTGGACGTGCACTCACGGAGGCGGGGCTGCTCCCTTCCAGGTCAGCGACCACCCAGTCAGTCCGTTCAGGGCACCAACCTTGCATCCCGTGTGGGCCCAGGCTTGGGGTGCAGTGTGAGCAGACTCGCCGGTCGCACTCTCTGTTGCTTTCGAAACAATCCACCTTGAATTCTAGTGGGTCTTGAATGATTTGCTGAAATTCACACTGCTAAGGAAAACAGACAGGGGCACTTGGGGGTTTGTGCTTCTTCCCACCATGTGAATAAGTGGATGACTGTGTGTGTGTGTGTGTGTGTGTGTGCAAGAGAGAGAGACAGAGGCAGAGACAGCAAGGTTGAGAGAGAGAGATGAGGCAGGCCCGAGCCATAATTGCATAAGACCCGAGGAAGCAGGCGAGGCCACCAGGGCTGAGTGGGCCGGTCCAGGAAGGCTTGCTCAGGGCTCCGTCCGCAGAGTTTCCTGAGCACCAGCACTGTGCCAGGCTCGGTGGCTCATAGGCTTCCTCTGGGTCCTCAGGGTTGACCCCCCTTTTCCCTGCTTAGGTGGATTTGGGGGAACATGGAGTGTGGGCAGCGGAAGTCTGAATTACAGAACACTTTTTTAAAAAAGGCAGTGTTCCTTTGTCCAGGTGGGAGTTCCTGACATCACCTCGGGGACCAGCCTTAGAGCCCAGGTAAGACCGTGCAGGTGTTTGGCTGGGTGGCTTGGCTTTGTCAGAGCTGGCCCTGTGAGGCTGAGGGTGCACTGGACTCCCAGCCAAGCAGGGTCCAGAACCCAGCTCAGGTGCTGACCAAGGTCTGGCCTTCGACTAGTCACATCCCCTTGCTGGTCTCCAGGTTGTCACGGTGCTGGGAGCCACTGGTCCCCACTGAGCGTGGCTGAGCCCACATCACTGCCTGGAGGGCTAGTGGTCCCTCTCTCCATTTCTCACTTGATCCTCCTAAAGGCATCTCTGAATTATTTGTTGCATCTAAATTTAATTGAATCATAGCTTTCATTTGTTTTCAAATTAGCTTTTTCTTAAAGTAGCCTTATTTATTGTAAGAAAATGACCAGAGCTCCTTGTAAAAAGCAATAGAAGAAGCAAAAACACGTTTAAGTGCCACCCCCCTAGAAATAAGTCTTAAAAATATCCCCAATTGCCCTTGCAGACAGAGAAACTGTTTAAAGATGGGGTTGTTCTAGCCACATTTTTTCTTCCCTGTAACTTGTTTTCCCACAAACTGTACAGCAGAGGTATCCACTGTGTGTGTCAATAAATAAGTGAAGATTGGCATCATTGTTTTAATTGCCCAGAGCATCCATTGCCTGGTTGTATCATCATCCTATTAATGATGCTCTTGTTGGTGGAGATGAATGCAGTTTCCAATTTTCCCATTATAAACACCCATGGGGAACAACTTTACATTTATGGCAACTGCTCTGTACGGCAAATTCCCTGAGGTGGGATTTCAGGGTTAAAAGTTTTACAAATTGTGCCTGTTGACACCTACAGAAGGGTTTCTGCATTTTTCAAAAAGGTAAAAATTCCTGCCGGGTGGACTCTTAATGTGGCACCACAGTGTTCTTTATGAAATCAGCCAGTACCTCCTTTATTAAAAATAGCTTCTCTGGGCCTTCCCTGGAGGTCCAGTGGTTAGGAGTTTATGCTACCACTGCAAGGGACCCTGGGGCTTTCCTTGATGGTTCAGTGGGAAAAGAATCGGCCTGCAATGCAGGAGACACAGGAGACACACGTTTGATTCCTGGGCTGGGAGAATCTCCTGGAGGAGGAAATGGCAACCCACTCCAGTATTCTTGCTTGAAACATCCCAAGGACAGAGGAAACTGGAGGGGTACAGTCCACTGGGGTGCAGATTTGATCACTGGTTGGGGAACTAGGGCTCCATATGTTGTACAGAAGAGCCAAAATTTTTTTAAAAATTATTTAAAAAGTAACCTCTTTGTCATCCCAGTGCACCAGCCCTGACCACCCTGTCTCGTGCATCAAACCCGCACTGGGATGACTCTGAAGGATGGGATGGGAAGGGAGGTGAGCGGGGTTCAGGATGGGGAACACATGGACACCCATGGCTGATTCATGTGAATGTATGGCCAAAACCACTACAATATTGTAAGGTAATTAGCCTCCAATTAAAATAAATAAATTTAAAAAATAAAATAAAAAATAACCTCTTTAAATGATTATAAAAGTAACACACTTTAATGTAGAAAATCTGGAACATACATACATGAATCGTGAAGGAGATTGAGATGATTTGATAATCCACACAGACTTAACCTATCAATTTAGCTATTGATCAGTCTATTGCATTAACATAATGTTTGTTTCACCAAACACCATATGAAGTCACTGCCCAGTGTGGTTAAACAGCTTTTGATAAGTTAGTCAAAACACACTTTGGGGGCATTATCTGGAGAAAACTAATTGGAAAAGATACATGCACCCCAGTGTTCATTACAGCACCATTTACAATAACTAAGATGTGGAAGGAAGCAATGTAAGTGTCCATTGACAGATGAATGGATAAAGATGTGCTATACATGTACAATGGACTACTATTCAGTCTTAAAAAAGGATGAAATAATACCATTTGTAGCAACATGGACGGACCTAAAGATTATCATCCTAAGTGAAGTAAGTCACAGAAACCACAATCACAGAAAACTAATCAAACTGATCACATGGACCATAGCCTTGTCTAACTCAATGAAACTACAAGCCATGCCGTGTAGGGCCACCCAAGATGAATGGGTCATGGTGGAGAGTTGTGACAAAACATGGTCCATTGGAGAAGGGAATGGCAAATCACTTCAGTATTCTTGCCTTGAGAACCCCATGAATAGTATGAAAAGGCAAAAAGATATGACAATGAAAGATGAACTCCCCAAGCTGGTAGGTGCCCAATATGCTACTGAAGAGTTATTTCTGAATAACTTCAGAAAGAAAGAGGAGACGGAGCCAAAGCAAAAACAATGCCCAGTGTGGATGTGATAGGTGATGGAAGTAAAGTCTGATGCTATGAAGAGCAATATTGCATCGGAACCTGGAATGTTAGGTCCATGAATCAAGGTAAATTAGAAGTGGTCAAACAGGAGATGGCAAGAGTGAACATCGACATTTTAGGAATCAGTGAACTAAAATGGACTGGAATGGGTGAATTTAACTCAGATGACCATTATATCTACTACTGTGGGCAAGATCCCTTAGAATAAATGGAGTAGCTCTCATAGTCAACAAAAGAGTCCGAAATGCAGTACTTGGGTACAATCTCAAAAATGACAGAATGATCTCTGTTCGTTTCCAAGGCAAACCATTCAGTATCACAGTAATCCAAGTCTATGCCCCGACCAGTAATGCTGAAGAAGCTGAAGTTGAACGGTTCTATGAAGACCTACAAGACCTTCTAGAATTAACACCCTAAAAAGATATCCTTTTCATCATTGGGGACTGGAATGAAAAAGTAGGAAGTCAAGAGATACCTGGAATAACAGGAAAATTTGGCCTTGGAATACAAAATGAAGCATGGTAAAGGCTAACATAGTTTTCCCGAGAGAACACACTGCTTGTAGCAAACACTCTCTTCCAACAATACAAGCGAAGACTCTACACATGAACACCACCAGATGGTCAACACTGAAATCAGATTGATTATATTCTTTGCAACCAAAGATGGAGAATCTCTATGCAGTCAGCAGAAACAAGACTGGGAGCTGACTGTGGCTCAGATCATGAACTTCTTATTGTCAAATTCAGACTTAAATTGACGAAGGTAGGGAAAACCACTAGACCATTCAGATATGACCTAAATCAGTTCCCTTAGGATTATACAATGGAAGTGAGAAACAGATTCAAGGCATTAGACCTGATAGACAGAGTGCCTGAAGAACTATGGGCAGAGGTTCATAACATTGTACGGGAGGCAGTGATCAAGATCATTCCTCCAAAAAATAAATGCAAAAAGGCAAAATGATTGTCTGAGGAGGCCTTACAAATAGCTAAGGAAAGAAGAGAAACGAAAGTCAAAGGAGAAAAGGAAAGGGTTCCAAAGTGTAGCAAGGAAAGAAAAGAAAACCTTCCTTCCTCAGTGATCAATGCAAAGAAATTGCATAGAGGAAAACAATAAAATGGGAAAGACTAGAATTCTCTTCAAGAAAATAATCTTTGACAAAGGAGGCAAGAATATACAATGGAGAGAAGACTCTTTAACAGTGGTGCTGGGAAAACTGGTCAACCACCTGTAAAAGAATGAAACTAGAACACTTTCTACACTTGATCTTAGCCAAAAGGCTGAGAAGTGATGAAACTAGAACACTTTCTAACACCATACACAAAAATAAACTCAAAATGTATTAAAGATACCAACGTAAGACCAGAAACTACAAAACTCATAGAGGAAAACATAGGCAAAACATTCTCTGACATATATCACAGCAGGGTTGTCTATGACCAACCTTCCAGAGTAATGTAAATAAAGGCAAAAATAAACAAATGGGACCTAATTAAACTTAAAAGCTTTTGCACAACAAAGGAAACTATAAGCAAGGTGAAAAGACAGCCTTTAGAATGGGAGAAAAATAGTAGCAAATGAAGCAACTGACAAAGAATTAATCGCAAAAATATACAAGCAGCTCATTCATCTCAATACCAGAAAAATAAATGACCCAATCAAAAAATGCGCCAAAGAACTAAACAGACACTTCTCCATAAAAGACATACAGATGGCTAACAAACACATGAAAAGATGCTCAATGTCACTTATTATCCGAGAAATGCAAATCAGAACCACAATGAGGTACCGTCTCACACTGGTCAGAATGGCTGCTGTCACAAAGTCTACAAAAATTAAAAGCTGAGAGGGTGTGGAGAAAAGGGAAGCCTCTTACACTGTTGGTGGGAATGCAAACTAGTACAGCCACTATGGAGAACAGTGTAGAGATTCCTTAAAAAACTGGAAATAGAACTGCATGTGACCCAGCAATCCCACTGCTGAGCTTACACACCTAGGAAACCAGAATTGAAAGAGACACATGTACGCCAATGTTCATAGCAGCACTGTTTACAATAGCCAGGACATGGAAGCAACCTAGATGTCCATCTGCAGATGAATGGATAAGAAAGTTGTGATACAGATACACAATGGAATATTACTCAGCTACTAAAAATAATGAATTTCAATCAGTTCTAATGAGGTGGATGAAACTGGAGCCTATTATACAGAGTGAAGTAAGTCAGGAAGAAAAACATCAATACAGTATATTAACTTATACATATGGAATTTAGAAAGATGGCAATGATGACCTTATATGCAAGACAGCAAAAAAGACACAGATATAAAGAACAGTCTTTTGGACTCTGTGGGAGAAGGCCAGGGTGGGACGATTTGAGAGAATAGCTTTGAAACATGTGTTTTACCATACGTGAGATAGACCAGTCTAGGTTCGATGCATGAAATGGGGCACTCAAAGCCAGTGCACTGGGACAACCCTGAGGGATGGGGTGGGGAGGGAGGTGGGAGGGGGTTCAGGATGGGGGACACATGTGCACCCATGGCTGATTCATGTCAATGTACGGCAAAACCACTACAGTATTGTAAAGTAATTAACCTCTAATTAAATTAATTTTTAAAAAAGAGAAGAAGTGGCAAGAATACACAGAAGAACTACAAAAAAGATCTTCATGACCCAGATAACCTTGATGATGTGATCACTCACCTAGAGCTAGACATCCTGGAATGTGAAGTCAAGTGGGCCTTACAAAGCATCACTATGAACTAGTGGAGGTGACGGAATTCCAGCTGAGCCATTTCAAATCTTAAAAGATGATGCTGTGAAAGTGCTGCACTCAATATGCCAGCAAATTTGGAAAACTCAGCAGTGGCCACAGGACTGGAAAAGGTCAGTTTTCATTCTAGTCCTAAAGAAGGGCAATGCCAAAGAATGCTCAAACTACTGCACAATTGCACTCATCTCACATGCTAGTAAAGTAATGCTCAAAATTCTCCAAGCCAGGCTTCAATAGTACATGAACTGTGAACTTCTAGATGTTCCAGCTAGATTTAGAAAAGGAAGAGGAACCAGAAATCAAATTGCCAACATCTGTTGGATTATCAAAAAAGAAAGAGGGTTCCAGAAAAGAATCTATTTCTGCTCTATTGATTACGCCAAAGTCTTTGACTGTGTAGATCACAACAAACTGTGGAAAATTCTTCATGAGATGGGAATACCAGACCACCTTACCTACCTCCTGAGAAATCTGTATGCAGCTCAAGAAACAACAGTTAGAACCAGACATAGAGTAACAGACTGGTTCCAAATTGGGAAAGGAGTACGTCAAGGTTGTATATTGTCACCCCTGCTTATTTAACTTATATGCAGAGTACATCATGCGAAATGCCAGGCTGGATGAAGCACAAGCTGGGATCAAGATTGCCAGGAAAAATATCAATACCCTCAGAAATGCAGATGATACCACCTTTATGGCAGAAAGCAAAGAGGAACTTAGGAGCCTCTTGATGAAAGTGAAAGAGGAAAGTAAAATAGTTGTCTTAAAACTCAGCATTCAAAAAACGAAGATCATGGCATCTGGTCCCATCACTTCAGCAAATAGATGGGGAAACAATGAAAACACTGACGAATTTCATTTTCTTGGGCTCCAAAATCACTGCAGATGTTGACTGCAGACATGAAATTAAAAGATGCTTGCTCTTTGGAAGAAAATCTATGACCAACCTAGACAGCATATTAAAAAGCAGAGACATTACTTTGCCAACAAAGGTCCATTTAGTCAAAGCTATGGTTTTTCCAGTAGTCATGTATGGATGTTGAGAGTTGGCCTATAAAGCAAGCTGAGTGCTGAAGAATTGATGCTGTTTAACTGTGGTGTTGGAGAAGACTCTTGAGAGTTCCTTGGACTGCAAGGAGATCGAACCAGTCAATCCTCAAGGAAACCAATCCTGAATATTCATTGGAAGGACTGATGGTGAAGCTGAAACTCCAATACTTTGGTCTCCTGATACGAAGAATCAACTCATTGGAAAAGACCCTGAGGCTGGACAAGATTGAAGGCAGGAGAAGAAGGGGACGGCAGAGGATGAGATGGTTGGATGGCATCACCGACTCGATGGACATGAGTTTAAGCAAACTGCGGGAGTTGGTAATGGATAGGGAGCCTGGCATGCTGCAGTCCATGGGTTGCAAAATGTCCTACACAACTGAGCAACTGAACTGAACTGAACTGAAGTAAGCCAGGCAAAAACAAGTATCATATGATACCACTTTCATGTGGAATTCTAAAAAATGATAAAAATGAACTTATTTATAAAACAGAAACAGACTCACAGACATAAAAAAACAAATTTACTGGTTACCAAAGGGGAAAAGAAGGAAGTAGGAATAATTAGGAATTTGGGATTAACAGATAACATATTCAGTTCAGTTCAGTTCAGATACACACTGCTATATATAAAAGAGATAGCAAGAACCTACTGTGTAGCAGACAGAACTATGTTCAATGTCTTGGAATAACCTATAATGGAAAAGAATTTGCAAGAGTACATATGTGTGTGTGTGTGTGCGTGTGTGTGTGTATAATTGAATCACTTATTGGAAACTAATACATTGTAAACCAGCTATCAGTTCAGTTCAGTAGCTCAGTCGTGTCCACCCATCTCATCCTCTGTCATCCCCTTCTCCTCCTGCCTTCAATTTTGTCCAGCCTCAGGGTCTTTTCCAATGAGTCAGTTCTTCACATCAGGTGGCCAAAGTTTCAGATTACCTATACATCAATTAAAAAAAAAAAAAAACCCTACCTTTTATTTACTTATGATCATTGCCAGAAACTTGGAAAATTCAGGGCATTCTAAAGGAGAAAACAGACAATAGCCCAAAAGGGGTGTCCCCAGGCCAGCTCTGTTTACAAGCTGGTATGTTCACTCCAGTCTATTTGTTATTGCAGACGCAGACTTACTTGTTTTGCATAATTATTATCAGATTGTGGTTGCAGTTCTGTCTCCTGATTTTTCACTTAACAGATCCTGATTATTTCCCCATGCTGTTAAGCAGTCTCTGAAAACATGGTTTTTAATGGCTGAATACTATTTTATGGAGCAGAGTGTTTAATAAGTGATCTGTTCTTTGCTGTGTCCAGGTTTTAGGTGTTACAGGTAGTGCCGTGATGTTCACCCTGGTACCAAAGTCTACGCACACGAATGGGAGGGTTTTCTCAGGGCGAATTCCTAGAAGCGAGATTGCCAGGCTGGCTACATGTTGCCAAATTGTCCTCCAGAAAGCTGCTAGCAGTTACATTCCCAGCAGCACTATAAGAGAATTACCACCGCCAACGCTGCAGAGCAATGTTATTTTGTCTCTGATGACTGCAAACGGCATCAGGATGTTTCAATGGCTACTTCTTTGCCCAGTAGTAAAAATGAGCACCTTTTTTAATAGGATTATCACCTTGCATATTTCATGCATGAAATTCCTATTTGTCTTTTATCCAGCCATCTAGTGCCTTGTTCATCTTATTGATTTGTGAGTGCCTTTTGTATATGAAGACTACGTTAGTCTTCTGTGTGTTGCAACATTACTCAGCATCTCTGGACTCTGTTTTTGGTTTCTTTCCTTAATATAAAGGAGGTAGTGTCCAATCAAATGTCTTGAACTTCTTTATTGTTACTGTTTTTTAAAAAATAAGGCTCAGAAAGGTCTTTCTCAACCAGAGATCAGTTCACTGTAGATTTCACTTTTCTGTGACAAGGGCTCAGTCACACCTCACCCGGAATTTGGAGTTTTTCAGGGAGTGGAGCAGTGATGTACTCCCAGCTTCCAGGTTCATTGGGGGGAGGGGCCTGCTGTGGGCGGATGCCTGATCCCACCTGGAGTCGACGCCAGAGCTTGTGGAGAGAGACTGCCCTACCGTTTCTCCGCAGAGGTTAGCACAGTTCAGCAGATTCTGCGTGTGTGCTGTGGACCCTGGGCTTCCACCCCGGACAGAAGGCTGCAGCCTTGGCCTTGAAAACATGGCCATCACCCAGACAACCAGCTGCTGCAATAGGACCAGAGAGCACCCTCCCATGCCCAGGTGTGAGACACCCAGAGCTCCCCCTCATACTCGGGAGAGGCATTGCCTGGGGTGGAGAAGTTGTGGCCAGTTGGCGAGATTTGGGGGTTGCACACAGCTGTGGTCTCATTCATATCCATAGCCAGGTGAGTCCTGGGGCTATGCAGGGTGTTTCTTTTAGTTCTCATATGGTTCTGTACTTTACAGTTATTCATGAGTCCATGTGTTCATTCATTGACTCGTTCAATTGTTCACTGTGCCAGGAGCTGGGGATTCAGTGGCAAATGAACTCAGGAGTCAGAGAGTATCAGCCAACAAAGGGTGTATAATATCAGCTCAGACAGAGGGGGGAAAACTGGGCCAGGGACAGCCAGTGGGGCCCGATGAGGGGCCATAGATGTGGAGGTGGATGGCTTGTTCCAGTAGACATTTGAGAAGGGTCTGGCTGAAGTCATCAAGCCGTGCAGTGGTCTGGGGTCAGCATTCCAGGCAGGGGGCTGTGTGAACAGAGGCTCCAGGAATTTATTCTGGAATCAGGAATGAAACTGGGACTCAGCTTTAACAGATCGCAGGCCCCCTTATTAACTGTTTCCGTCTTCCCTATGGATTTGAAAGGCTGCCTTCATAACACACTAAATTAGTGTATGGAGTAGGCACTGTCCGGGGCACTCCATGGGGGTCCGCATGAAGCCTCACTTAGGGGGCTATGGTGGGGCTGGGGGTTGGGCAAGGAGAGACACCAATGCATCCTCGGGGCACATGGGCATCATCCTCAGACTCTGGAGTCTCCTGACTTACAGGCTGTGCCTGGAAATATGTGGCTTTTCGCCCCACTAGAAGCCAAAGTTCAGTTCTCACACTTTGGTTTGAACTACTATATAAGAATTCCTAGAAAGCTCAAGCATTTCCTTTTGCCTCCCCACCCCCACACCTCTCCTGCCATTCCCCTGGCCCCAAAGTTCCTACAAGTCGGTTCCAGGGAGAGCAGACTGTTCCTGGAAGACAGACTCCCACTTGAAGGAGCCCACATACCCCTCCTTGAGTAGGGCTTTCTAGGCGGGCATCAGGGGAGGATTTGCTCAATGGGGACCCCGAGGGGCTTGAAGCAGATCTGGGGTGGCACCCCTCTCCCGTAGGGTGGGCCTCCCAGGAATGAAGCTGCACCTCCATTTTGGAAACAGTGCACACATGCATGGAAGGCCAGGGCAATCCAGACATCCTGCCCCCTCTCCCTGGATCAGATGGGGGCCAAGAGGGAACAAGTTTTCCCCAGAGTAACTCAGCAAGTACTGGCAGAGATGACTGGGCCTGCTGGGAGGATAGAAATGGAAATTAATCATGGCTGGCCCCAGGTGGGAATGAACTGATGGGAATGAACTTCACTTGGCCTGGTTCATGGAAGAACTGTGCTTTCAATGGTGTCAGTGGGTAAAATCTAAGTTATTTCTCTCCAGAAGGGATTTACCAGGACACAAATAGGTGAAATCAGAAAGGAAAATGGGGATATTTCTACCAACCTTCCAGAGATAAAAAAGGGTTATAAACTAATACTATGAATACCAATGAACTAGATAACCTGGAATAAGTGGATAAATTCCTTGAAATACACAAAATACCTAAACTTACTCAAAAAGAAATAGAAAATTGAAATAGATCTATAATGAGTAAGGAGATTACATTAGTAATCAAAAACTTCCCAACAAAGAAAAACCCAGGACCAGATGGCTTCACAGGTAGATCCTATCAAATATTTAGAGAAGTATTAACACCAGTCCTTCTCAAATTCTTTCAAAAGATTGAAGAGGATGAAACACTTCCTAAATTACTTTACACAGTCAGCATTACTGTGAAACCAAAGTCAGATAAGGACCTCACAAGGAAAGGAAACCACAAACTAAAATCTCTTATGAATAGAGATGCAAAATTTCTTAACAAAATATTATCAACTGGAATCCAACAGCATATTAAAAAGATTATATATCCTGTCCAAGTGGGACTTACCCCAGGAAGACAAGGTTGGTTCAACATAAGAAAACCAGTCAGTGTTAGACATTACAATACTAGAAGGCAGAAAAAATTACTCATGATCCTCTCAGTTATGTGAGAGAGATATTTAACAAAATCCAATACCCTGTCATGATAAAAAAAAACTCTGGAAAAATTAGGAGTAGGAAGAAAACTACCTCAATATGATAAAGGATATTAGTGGGGAAAAGTATGACAAATCTAATGTCACACTCAGTGCTTAAGGATGAAAGTGTCACAGTAAAATCAGAAACAAGACAAGGATATCTGCTTTTACCATTTTTATTCAACGTGGTACAAGAGGTTCTAGCCAGGACTGTCAGGCAAGAGAAATAAATATATAAACAGAAGGTATCCAACTTGGCAAGGAAGACGTAAAATTATCTGTTCACAAAGGACGTGATCCTATGTCCTAAAAATATCCTAAGGAATCCACAAGAAAGCTCCTAGAACAAATAAACAAATTCAGCAAAGTTGCAGGGTAAAATATCAGCACACGAAAACCAGTTGTGCTCTACACACTGGCAACCGACAATCTGAACAGGAAATTAAGCAATTCCATTCCCAGTAGCTTCTTAAAAAAAAAAGAAACACTTAGGAAGAATAAATCTAACAAAGGAAGTGAGAGATTTGTATGCTGAAAACCACAAAACATTGCTGAAAGAGATGAAGGAAGATCTAAATAAATGAAAAGATATCCCATGTTCATGGATAGAAAGACTTAACATTGTTAAAATGTCTCTATTGCCCTAAGTCATCTATAGGTACAACAATTCCTATGGAAAGTCCAAGAAACTTCTTCACAGAAATGGAAATGACAATCTTCAACGCCACAGAAGCTGCAAGGAGCTTCAAAGTATCAAAATAATCTTGAAAAAGAAGAATAAAAGTTAAAGAACTCCCATAGGGTGGGAGCAACTTCGAAACTTACTACGAAGCTATAGAAATTAAAATAAGGCAGTGTGGTACTAGCAGAAGGACAAACATATAGACCAATGGATTAAAATAGAGAGCCCGGAGATGAACACTCACATATATGGTCAACTGATTTTCCAAGTATGCCAAGAACACTCAGCGAAGAAAGGACAGTCTTTTCAACAAGTAGTACTGGGAAAACTGGGCATCCACATAAAAAAGAATGAAATTAGACCTTTACCTTACAGTATAGACAAAAATTAACCCAAAATGTAGAAGGAAGGGATAGTTAGGTCATTTGGGATGGACATGTACACACTGCTATATTTAAAATGGATCATCAGCAAGGACCGATTGTACAGCACAGGAAACTCTGCTCAATGTTAGGTGGCAGCCGGTATGGGAGGGGAGTTTGGGGGAGAATGGATACATGTATATGTGTGGCTGAGTTCATTTGCTGTCCACCTGACACTATCACAACATTGTTAATTGGCTATACTTCAATATAAAATAAAAAATTAACTCAAAATGGATTGAACCCTAAATAGCTAAAACCATAAAACTCAAGGAAAATATTTATGACACTGCATTTCTCAATAGTTCTATGGCTATGACACCAATAGCACAGGTAACAGAAGAGAAAAAAAATAAATGAGTCTTCAAGAAATTTTGTGCATCAAAGGACATTATTGCAATCAAGAAAGTAAAAAGATAACCTACATGATGAGAGGACTATTTGTACATCAGTCCTCCAATGAAGGCTTAATATCCAAATATTTAAAGAACACCTTTAACTCAACAACAGCAAAAACCCCAATTGCAAAATGAGCAAAGGACTTGAATAGACATTTCTCCAAGGAAGATCTAAAAATGGCCAATAGCACAAGAACAGATATTCATCATCATCAGTCATTAGGGAAATACAAATCAAAACCACAATGAAATTCCACCTCAGACCCACTAGGATGGCTGTTATTAAACAGAAGTGTGAGGGGGATAAAAACTGTGGTGTGGATGTCGAAAAACTGGAGCCCTTGAGCACTACTGGTGGGAATATAAAATGATGCGGTCACTGTGCAAAACAGTTTAGTGTTTCCTCAACAAGTTACACAGAGCTACTCAGCAACATGACCCAGCAGTTCCCCTTCCAGGTAAATACCCCTGAAGAATGCTGGGACTCTATAATAGATATCTGTGCATCAATGCCTAAGCAGCATTATTCACAACAGACAGAAGGCAGAAACCGTTGAAGTGTCCACCAACAGATGAATGGATAAAGGAACAGTTATCTGTACCTACAGTGGAATAATACTCAGCCATAAAAAAGGACTTCCTTGTAGCTCAAACGGTAAAGAATCTGCCTGCGATGCAGGAGACAAGGGTTTGATCCCTGGGTCAAGAAGATCCCCTGGACAAGGGAATGGCAACCCACTCCAGTGTTCTTGCCTGGAGAATTCCATGGACAGAGAAGCCTGGCAGGCTACAGTTTGTGGGGTTGCAAAGAGTCAGACATGACTGAGCGACTAACACACACACCCATAAAAAGGATTGAAATTCTGATGTATGCTACAAAGGTGAACCTTGAAAACATCATGCTAAGTGACATAAGCCAGGCATAAAAGGACACATATTGTATCCCATTGATATGTCTTCTCCATTTATATGCAGTCCCTAGAATAGGCAAATTCATAGAGAAAGACAAAGGCCCAAGGGTGAAGGGGATTTTGGACGAGTGGAGGAGCTGGAGAGAGTTCAGTGGAGCTCAAGGGTCCTGACGGGCAGGGCCATGGAAAGGCTGGATGTCATGTTGTTCAGTCGCTAAGTCGTGTCCGACT